ATGTGTGTGCTCTTTTACAAAATAATATACAAAAAAAAAAAAAAAAAACCTTGTGTAGATAACAATCAATTTGGGTGCCATACTTGTCAATGCTACGACATAATGTCTAGGGTTTTTATTCAAAAAATGTCTAGGGTTTTTATTCAAAAAATGTCTAGGGTTTTTATTCAAAAAATGTCTAGGGTTTTTGGCGCGAGCTTGTCTTATCTAACTGCCTATTTTAGACCCGAAAAGCCACTAAACATAAGCATGCCTATAAGTTATTTGAAGTAAACGTAATGCCAACTTATATGATAATGCGGCCAAAAAATTAAAGCAATAGCTATAATTAATTCCACATTGAAAATATTTGAAAATCTAATCTACTATACAAGAAGGTAGTTTTATTACATTAGTTACCAATTGGCTTTAAGGTAGAAAATTCTCATGAACTTTCTCACGGTATCATAATCCTTGACCCAATGCGGTTCATTCAAATTACCAAAGGATAATATAATATGATCCAAGATAATAGACCTTAGGAGCCACCCTCTTCAAGTGGAAGAACATGAGCCAAAGCCAATTGTTTTTTTCTTTTTTCTTTTTAATGTATAGGAATAAGAAAATAGTACAAAACAATTATTAATTAATGAAAGATAAATCGCATATGTATTTTGAGAATGAAGTAGTTTGATCAGGTTTGATAATCTGAACAAGGAGTCAAGTGATAATAGTTAAAGTGTTGATATTGTTCGACGTAAAGCTTTTACCTTTGTTGTTGTAATAGTAACCTCTTAGATGTTCTACAAAGATTGAAGAAAATGAAAAATTAAATGTTTTTTTTCGATACGTTTTGATGATCCCGAAATTCAACTTAACATCAACGCAAGGAAACTATATATCTCCATCACAAGGGTTCACAATCTCAATCATAATCATTATTGACACTAAATCGGATGAGATCTTTGAACATCCAACAACCGGTTATCAAACCCGAATGGTTAGTTGAATGGTTGTCATATATATGTGCTGTGGAACCTTAGCCTCCTCTCTTCAAGGATGGTTTGAGAAATTTTGCAGATATACTCCAATGATTGTTTTTCAAAATTGATCGAACCGGACTTATTAAATCCTTCAAATTCAGCATTACCCCTTTGAAGATAGCTAGTGGTTAACTATAAGCTATATAAATCACATATTCCAATCTATGGAATCAATGCAAAATCAAAGTATATCGGAACTGATTTTACTAATTAATGTTTTCCCATATACGACACTGAACATGTTGGAATTTGGTTAGATCCATTTCGAAACACACGTTTTAACCTTTCAATACAAAACACTGTTCAATCACAAGTCCTTTTCTGTTCACTGGTTGGACCTTATTAGCAAAACTCAAGAGGCGTGCCTTTATACACGTATAAACTGTATAAGTATTGATTTATACACACAAATACGTACACAATAAATCTAACTCGATCTGTAATTATAACTAAATAATACAATTTCAATGGTTACGGTGAGAACAAGTTAAGATGTCCTACTGAAGATATGCATGTAGAAGATTTTTTGCTAAACGAGATGTAGACGTTTCCGTATGTTATATCTCTATTGCTTCATTGATAAACAATACACGTATATACGAAAATACCGTTGGTCCATAACTTATTATAGTAACGACAAGAGGTTCTTTAAAGAGGAGCGATGAACAAAGATACCAACAATGGCGAAAAATGGCGAAAGTGTCCATGCATTTTTTGTTTTTGTCCCATGCATTTATAGTTCAACCCGAAGAGAATGGGCATCACTTGCCGAAAAGTTTGTTTGAAGTACATCAAGTTTTTTTGTTTTCGAGTTATCAATTGATTAAATATATATAAAAGCATGTGACACTTTACATATATATCACATGTGATGATTTTATATAGAATATTAATCAAGCACCAATAATTCAATTGGTAAAAAAAATTCAGGCAAAGCTTAAAGGTCGTCGGATCGAGTGGAACTTAGGAGAAGACTATATAAAATATTCTGATCACTGGCTTTAAGGGATATACCGGACTAGACCGAAAACTTTTTAGTCATTCAAAAAAATAAAAATTCATACGGATAATTAATAAATAAATTATTATATTTTTAAAAAATTGAAAGTTCTATAGATTTTGGAAACATATATTATATAAAATAATTCATGAATGCTCGTCTATTGTGTGATTATTAGTCTTACACATTATTACATTCTTCTAAAATCTCATCCTACCGTTCTTGGACCAGACTAGCTAGTTGTTATTTTCGTTGATTTCATACGATGGGAGAAACTGACAAATTCACTACTAGTCAAATTAAAATAAGAAATTTAAACATTTGAAGAAATTCACATTTTTAGTCACAATTTGGTTGAATAATAATGTCAAAAATTTAATACAATTTTGTATCATGTTAAAACTTAATTACTAGCAAATGCGTTATAAAATTGACACTTGTTATTGACTAGTAACTGGTAAAACTTTTGTTAGTAGTATTGAATTTGTTTTGTAATGATAGCTAAAACTTGGCTAGGGTTAGGTTGTGTGAAGCCTTGCAATGTAGAGAGAAATTGTATTAAGATTGCAGAGATCTCTAGATGATTTCCTCATGTTGTATATGGTAAACTATCAACGATTTCGTGAAGCGCAGATATAAAATTTTCTTGTATAATATATTGTTGCTACGGAATGAATTACGAAAGTAATCCTGAGTATCAATGGATCTCAAGCAGGACAATCGTAGCTCTGAATTCTAAGTGTTATCGGAAATCAATGGATTCATGATGAACAAAAACTTTGAAGACTTCGTTTGAGAATACTCTTCTCAATGCTTATCAAAACCTCTTTAATTTTATTAATCAAATCAACAATTGAATAATAGAAGAAGCCAATACGACTATTTATAATAAAAGTCTAAAACCCTAAAATACTAGAATATTCCAAAAAATAATTAATAATTAACTAGAATGTAATAATAATAAATATTTAAAAATATACCAAATATCTCGCTGCATCGGGTCTCGCCGGCCAAGAAAAGATTCTTTCTCGAATCTTGTGTCAGCATTGCATAACATTTCTTTGATACCAACTGTTGCAGCGAGATAAATTACGAAAGTGATTTTCAGTATCAATGGATCTCAAGCAGGACAATCGTAACTTGGAATTTTAGTGTTATGAGAGATCAATAGATTTACGATGACCAAGACTTCAAGGACTTGGTTTGAGAATACTTTTCTTAATACTTATCAAAAGCTCTTTAATTTTATTAATCAAATCAACAACTAAATAACAGAAGAAGCCTAATGGCTATTTATAATAAAAGCCTAAAACCCTAAAATACTAGAGTATTCTAGAAAAATAAAATATACTCCCTCTGTTCCAAAATATAGAATTTTTTAGCTTTTTTTTTTGTTCCAAAATATAGAATTTTCTCAGATTTCTATGCAAATATTCAATTTATTAAAACAATTTTGGTCAAACTATTTTAAAATTCTAAATTCTACTCCATCGTTATTTGTATTGTGTAATTACTCCATTTTTGCAAAACTTACCGTCTTCCAAACTCATGGGTTTTAAAACTGATCTTTTCATTAAAAAAAAAAAATCTGAGACTAAAAAATGGAAAACAGAGAAAGCAAATCAAAAAAACTTCATCGCCGTGACCAGGATCATCTTCTTCTATCCTTGGAATTTGGTTTAAATCAATCAAAACTTCTGCCTCATGATTTAGGATTGGAAAATTCAAATCAATATTGTAATCCATGAAAAATTTGGTAAATCATTGTTAGACCAAAGAGATTATATAGAGATAAACAATTGGAGTTTCTTTGTTCGTATGGCTCCATCGTGAAAAGTTTGAATTTTCAGTTTCAAAGTGTTTACAAAAAAATGGCTCGCATCTGAAATTTTTTTCTTGTAATTTGTTAATAATCCCTATTTAAGTGGAGTAAAATGTGTCTCTTAACATTCCTAATTATCCCTTCTATTTTTTTTTTTTGTAATTTGTTTTAATGTGTTTAATTAATGAGTTATTTTGTGTTAAAATTTTCCTTAATAAGCGTGCTTTTAGCCCAAAAATTCTATATTTTGGAACAGAGGGAGTAATAATTATGAATATTCCAAATATTCCAATTAAATAATATTTGAACAGTACATTAAAAATTTTGTGGTTCACATAGTCAAAAAAAGCTATTTGTTTTCTTAAATTTAACAACGTCAACAAATTTCATTCTTGTGTTACATATTTTCCAGTTGGATTCAAATGGAGTTTCTTGCATGGAAAAACTACTTCAGAAGTTAACAGAAGATGATATAAAATGTTTTCTTTTATAGAAAAACAACATTTTGTGATGTTCACAAGTCTTTGTCGCATATATTGTTGAATACAATAGGACTTGACATTTCTCTCTTAACAGCTACATTTTCAATGGCACACTACTCATACTTTTCAATGAAAAAGAAAATCGTATTTAATTTTTAATACAACTAGTCCTACTTTTATATTTGGTTTGTTGGTCAAATATATTCCAAAAAGAAAGGTGTAGAAGGATTTGTATATCGAGAAATTTACTTAACCTATCTTGATTGTTATTCTGTAGGAAGACACGACATTTATAGTTTATTATGGACATAACTAGAGTCTAACTATAGAAGGTACACTACTCAAGCTTCTGGTAAAACACTAAGCACACAATAACCAAACTTAAAAAAAAAAAAAAAAAACTAGAAGATAGAAGAAATGTAACTCGACATAATCCTTGAGTATTACAAGTGCCTACATAACCTTGGTTTCAATTGTTTTAAACAACACTTTTTACGTTAAGAATACAGCTTTGAATTTTCATTATTGTAACCTCAATAAAAATATTAATAACTTTTTCTTGACGGTTGTCATGTGGATAATTAAAAAATCCAATTTTCACAATATATTATTTATCTTTTATTTTCTTAAAATGTAAATACGAAAATATAAAGTGTTTCATTATAATAATACTAAAATTATTAGCTTATTTATTAAAACACACACTAATTAAATACGAAAGCAAACCCACACACAAACGCAAACAAATGTTCGAAACACTAATCAAATTTCACAGTCTCTCCATCGAAAACTCCAAAGTTGATCAACGTCAAATGCCAACGTCTCCCCTTTTTCTGTTGTCGTCGCTTCTGGAACCAACATATCTTCCTCTTGGCTCTCTTCTAGGAAACTCTCCAACCACATATTATCTCCATGAATCATATTATTCACAAGCTGATCTTTCTTCTCATCTTTGTTGTATGTGATACTATTGTCACAAACATGATTGTTGTTGAGTCCAAGGCATGGAGGATTAACGTCAAGTTCTGGCGGGCCATTGAGATGGTTGCAATCGTTGTTAACTGAGAAGGATCGAGGTCGAGGCTTATAAACATTAATTTTTTGTGCCGGTGTTGTAGGAATGGGCGTAATGTTTTTCTTTTTCATCTTGATCTTACAACATGGTTCATGTTTCTTACTCAGATGAGTGTTCCAGTAATTCTTGACATCATTCGCGGTCCGACCAGGCAATCGACCAGCAATTAAAGACCACCTAATAATTGTAAGAAAATATACATATATATGTTATTAGCATTAAACTTATGACTCTTGATGTTTAGTAGTATCAAATAAAGTATACCTATTTCCTAGAAGCCTATGAAGGCGAAGAAGAAGATCGACTTCATCAGAGCTAAGTTTTCCTCTCTTGATACTTGGCTTCAAATAGTTCAACCATCTTAGTCTACAACTTTTCCTGCACCGGTTTAGCCCTACAAAACCAATAATAGACACACTGATTATACCTACATACTGAGACTGTTTTTATTTGTCTCCTTCTACATATTTTATCATGAAGAATCTATGCACACCAATGGAAAACAAGAACTGTTCCAACACAGAAACACGTGTTCATACAGAAATTTTCCTCGAATTCATTTACAAGAAGACAAACCAATAAATTGTTTTTAACGAAATTACAGAAGAAGCTAGCAAACGCAACGTAACTAAAAGTAGTATCATTTTTTATTCAATTTTTTTTTTTTAAATAATGTTAAATTAGCTTCAAAGAAAAAATAACGTTTGTACAACTAGTGCATCGTGTGTTTGATAGAATTTAAACGAGAAACTGAAAATATATAGAAAAGCTCAAGAACTATGATCTGCTTTGAAGAAAATAACGTTTTTTCTTCATTTTTAAGTAAATAATCTTTGTTTATGTGTAAAATAAATATGAACAGCATAAGAATTTTTCATGCACAACCTTTAAAACCATGTAATAACAGCACAAAGAAGTTGTAAAAATGATTTGTTCATTAAAACAAAAAAAGAGAAAAAAATGATTTCTATACCGGCTATGAACTAGTTTTCTGAATATTAAATAGAGAGAACGAAGACTATTCGTAGTGATTATAAAAACAATATGTATATATGTGTGTGTGCGTGTGTGTCGGTTAGTGTGTGTGTTTGTAAACAACTTACCAGCTCTTACAGGAACTTGGTGCCATTTGCCTTCACCAAACTTATTAATGCACTGTCTCAAAAGACTATCTTCTTCAGCAGTCCAAGCACCTTTTCGCAGCCCTTTGGACGAACCCTCCATGGAACAAAGATAGATACGTAAAATATCTAAACAAATTTTAAAAGGTATATTGGTCAAGAAAGAGTGTATGTATTGTGTTTTCACAAATGATTGGAGGTCTTATAGAGAGTGTGAGTAAGTGAGCAAATTTATAAAAACACGTGACGGACATAGGGAGGTGACGTGCATGTTTGATATCCACATTTTATGTTTTAGCTGTCGTGCTTAATTTGTTAAGTTATTGTTTGGTTACTGATTTGGACTAGAGAGAAAAGGTTCATAGGATCTAACTAGTATCTTCATCCTTTTTCAGTACTTAAAAAAACAAACATGTTTCTTAACAAAATTAGGAGAAAGGACGATTAGTGTTTGGTTATGATTTATATGATTACAAAATAGAGAAGTTTTATTAGTGCACAAGAAAATAGGACAGAATAGAGAAATAGGGTGGATGAATAACACTAAGCTCTTTTTTTTTTTTTTTTGTCAACAACTTTATTAGATTAGCTTATACAAGCCAATTTTGGGGGATATTGTTTACAACACTAAGCTCTATTAGTGTAGTTTGGATAGAGAAATAGGAGATATTAATTTTAATAAGGCTATTTGTTTTTCTTTTATTTTCTATCATTTTACAAATTTTTAGAATGTTCATCTTCACTGGAAATTTAACAAGCATTTGAAATCTTTTCCTTAATTTAGATATTCTTTTACAAGAGTTAGGAGTTATGCTAGTGGTATACCATTTTCAGTGTTAGGAGTTAAGAGAGCCGGCCATGAGGCCAAGCAAGGCAAGCTTGTGCTTGCGGCCCTAAATCCCCTTTATATATAATCGGCCGCTTATCAAACAATAATGTTCAAGTAGTCTAGTGGTTTGAAGTGTGTCATAACATGTGCATGTGACCAGTTCGAATCCACTAACTCTGTTATCTTTTTTTTTTTTTTTTTTCTATTTTTAATCTTTTCTTACAAATAATAGGCCTAAAATTATTTTTTGTTGCTTGTGGCCTTCAAATTATCAGGGACGGCTCATAGCGGTATACAAATTTTCTTAAGTATGGTAAAAATAGTACATGAATTGAATATGATATGATTATCTCTATAATTAGTAAGTGAAGAGATGGAACCGAAAAAAAAAAACCCTTTCTCTAGTTTTGTAAAGGGGAAAATCACCACTACGCTATATTAGTATTACAATTACAAACCTTTAGATTGTGGGTGGCCCTCATAAGTTAAATAAAATTGAAAGGTCTTAAGCTCTCCCACTCATATGCAAAGGCCCGGTCGGGTGTCTACAGTCCCGTCTCATAATTTTTGACAACCTTAGGCAAAATAAAAAAAATGAGCCTTTTATTTATACTATACAAAAAAATACATAAAACTAAAATGAGACTTTTATTTCATCGCTTACAAATTAAGTAGGTTAAATTTTCTTGGGCCTTTTGTTTTATACACATTTTTATAATGGTCCTTTTAGCTCTAATTTTTTTTTTTTTTTTTCATATCTTACAATAAAAAAAAAAAATGAACCCTTTTATTTTTGGACCTTATGCAAATGCCCAGGGGCGGATCTAGGTAGTGGATGGGTGGGGCACGTGCCCCACACTACTTCTATAAATTTTCGTTTGATTAGCATGTAGTAATAGAATCATACAGCTGTGTTGGTTACGTTTAAGTTCAATATTTCTTCATACCAGGGTTCGACTTTAGTCTAAGCCACAATTTTTTCTTTTATTTCTTTTTCCTCCACCACAAACATTAATTTAATCATCCAGTTAGCTAGGCCTGGGCAAAATACCCGGAACCGAATACCCGAACCGAAAAAACCCGAACAATACCCGAACCGAACCCGAACCCGATTTTTAAAAATACCCGAATGGGTCCTAACCTCCTACCCGAAAAAAACCCGAACCGAATCCAATACCCGAATGTACCCGAATGTACCCGAATACAAATATACACCTAAAAATATTAGTTATATTTATATTTATAATACCCGAAATACCTAAAATTACAATCATAAATCCGAATATATTAGGTATTTTAGATATTTTTGGTTATATTTGGGTAAAGAGTAACCAATGTATTTTCGAGAAATCGGGTATTTCGGTTAGATTTGGGTATATATGAGTTAAAAACCCGAACCCGACCCGAACCCGAAAATATTTCGGGTATTTTTGGTTATTTTCGGGTATTTTGCTTTTTTATTAAAATACCCGAACCGACCCGAACCCGAACCCGAACTGAACCCGAATTTTTAGAATACCCGAATGGGTCTTGACCCCCTATCCGAATAGACCCGATACCCGAAAAAAAAGAACCGAACCCGAACGGGTACCCGAATGCCCAGGCATACAGTTAGCTCCAACATCCTTATTTAGTTGTCAGTTTTAAATTATTTTGATATTTATTCATTAACTGATTAATTATTATGTGTACTACAATATTTTTAATATGTTAAAATAATTACAAAAATATATATTTTTTTCTAAACGCAGCTACATAGATTGTAAAAGATAAAAAATTACATTTATATTAATGAACTACATATTTTATCACGAAGTTTATATTTTGATTACGACTAAGATATATAATATTGTTGAAAAATATAAATAAATAAATTGTGCCCCATGCTAAATATTTTTCTAGATCCGCCACTGCAAATGCCTATCCTGCCATGGGTCAAAGACGGGCCTGGGTGTCTAGGCATCTTTAGGATGTTATATATGTGTTTAGGGAGGACATATATGTTGATCTCAGGTCTAGTATGCTAAAATAAAAGTAAATGGGACACTCACTAAACCCGTATTTGCTTCAAATTTGGAACATGCACTTATTTACTTCTAGCATCTTTATAAAAAAAAATAAAAAAATGGACCATGTACTTATTAATTATTAGCATCTGAGAGTGATGTTCTTAATTAGCATCTTTCTAAAAGCTCCATTAGACGTGTCCTAACATGATAAAGGGCCAAGAACTCACGAAACTTTTAGGGCTCTTAAGTCAATTACAGAAAGAAGGAAAATTCTTGGATCCCTTAAATATGAAAAATGTTTTGAAATTATGTATGGAGACAAAACGGAGGCGATAAATAAATGGCGATATACAAATACCTAACTTTTAGATAATGAAAAATGAGATCAGATTCTAATTTAAAGAAAACCACGTCACAAGGGCGATAAATAAATGGCCGATCTAGTCAAATTTCGTTAAAAGTATTTATAAACTTAAATTGCAAGCCCTCAAAAAGTTTTACTAAAAATGCTTTTTTTAGAAAATGATACTAACACACGACGACGAACGAAAAGAAAAAAAAGAACCCAAAATTTTAATATAGAAGTGTTTCTTTTCTCTTCTTTTAAGAATTAAATCATCAAGAACGTAACCAATATGGATTTTCTTAAGCAAGTCTTGATAATCACATCTTTGATCTTTCTCCACACAATCCCATCAACAACATCGATCTCACCAGATGCACCAACAATGATTCTAATCGACAGAATATGCCTCAACACCGTGAACACGTATTATTGTGAGCGATCAATCATCTCTAAACTCGATAAACCCCATGCGGAAATCACGACCATAACAAAAATCGCAGCGTTCAATGCATTGTACATCTCCAAAATCACGTCCGCTTTAATCAGAGATAGTTTTCTTCCCAAACCAAATAACCCTTTAACCAAGACCAAGCTTCGTACTTGCCTTGCAACGTACAATGGCATAGAGAGGTATCTCGAAGGTGCTTATCGGGCAGTGCTTAACAATGAGTATTCAGATATGAGACGCTATCAATCATATGTGCTTGGTATGCTCGATAAGTGTAAGACAGATTTCGATCCTATGGTGCGAAAAAATTGGTGGGTTAGGTTAATGATCAATATATCTTTATTAGCAGGCCGTAGGCTCCCTGCTCTCTAAATATATATGTGTAGTTATTAATGATGATCAATACCTTAAGTTACCATTATCGTATGGCTGCATCATTATCAATATAACAAATCGTTATCGATCGAGTAAGTAAACTTTGGTAAAGTATAATTTAAAAGTTACAATATATTATCGCGAAAAATATGTTAGATGAGTTAAAAGTTACGATTTAGAGCATAACAAAACCAAAAAAAAAAACCTTGAGAAATTTGGGTAACTAAAAAGAATATATCATTAATAGATAAACATTCAAAAAATATTAAAACAAAATTTATCTATGAATCTTATACATCACACCTTACAAATCTATACTATTAATTGGGAAGCATTAAAAAATAAATAACCTTATAAAAAGTAGAATATTACAGAAAATGCCACTGGAAATATTGAATATGAAGAAGGAAAAAAAAATCGCAAAAGGGTAAAATGGTCAATTTTATTTGTTGACCCGATCAAAAACGCGCGGATCCTTCATACCCGTTTGAAGCTGTTTTTTCTTAACCCGACACTACCAATAATAAATAGATTTAATATAAGCCCATTATGCTTATCTGATTCAATTTTTATATTGGGCCGAATATATTTTAAACATTCATTGATTTCCATTACAAGCCCATACATTATAAAGCGTGGTGTTTTGATAAGTTTGTAACACGTGAATTTTTTATTTTTTTTACAGCATAACACGTGAATCTTTACAACTTGATATTTTCATTATTTTAATATTATAATAGAAAGAGCATTTTGCGTATAGAAATCCTAAAATACAAACAGCTTTCGAGTTAAAACCAAAAAACCATAATCTTTCCTTCATGATTGTTGAAATTGCAACCACAAATTTTGGATATTAGTTCCCTATTAGAAACAACCTAACATCAAAATATTTAAATCAAAGCTAATGAATCATGATGATGATCATATGAACTTCAACTTCTTCAGCCCAATACACGCGGATCTTGGACTGGGTTTTCTGGGTTATGGAGTGGATTTTGGTAGCAGTGATCCATCCGAATTAAACCAATTTTCATATAAAAATGAAACTAAATCAATTATTTTAGGAAATAAATTAATTACAAAATTAATTAGCTTATGTATTCTCCACATTTGATGGGTTGTTTTGAATAGAATCATTTACAAATTAAGATCTTTTAAACGATTATAAAAGTTTAAATTTTGAATTTCTTAGGAAAA